CAGAGTATCTTGTTGTTTTACACTTATTGCATTCTCTTGGTTCACCCCATTTATTAGTCGTATTTTTTAATTCGAAATTATAAATAAACCTTTCTCTACAATATTCCTTTTCATTTTCTAATAGTTTTTTGTTTTCTTTGACTAATTGTAAAAAATAACTTTTTTTTTTTTTAAGGTCAGGAACAGTTGGAAAAGCATAATAAGCAATACCATCTATTTCATTACAAATTTTAAGTACTAATTCTTTTCTGTCTTGTGTTAATAATTTATATATGTTATTGAAGGACATTTTAACTTTTTAATATTTATTTTAAAAAAAATAAGCAAATTATTTTCTACTTGACACAACATTCCTTTTTATGGTATTTTTTGCAAATCTAACTTATTATCTAATTTCTCCTACAATATTTGAATGTAGTTGAATGAGGCTCTAGGCTGGAATAAAAAGGTCTTGTAATTCAATTTTGGCACAATTTCTTTCAAGTCCACATCATCTTTTCTAGTGCTCTTGAAAAATCAAAACTAAACCAAAAATCACATCTTTCAGATTGAATTCAGTTAAAACTTTATACCATCCATCTTCATCATCCTTATTATTTTCAGATCCCTAGATTTTGGCTTTTATTATAAAAGAAAGTCATCAAAAAAGTAAACCAACTTGTTGATGAATTCTTTATGAGGGTAAATTTACAATAAAATACAGCACACATTATACTTACACTTGTTTCATTTTGTACAAAATAAGAATTCTCAAATAATCTATGAAGCAGAAAAACTGCATGGACAAAAAAATATTTGCTGCAAAAATAGCCAAGTAAACAAATTGTTGAAACTTATCATGAAGAGATCAATAATCTTCTCACCATTCTACAACATTGTTGTAGCCACAAAGATCCACCATTATATCAAGACAACCCTTACACCACTTTGACAAATTTATTGAATTGCACATAGTGCCAGCAATAATAGAAGAAGCACCCATTTTTAGATGTATGATACCAGAGTAATAAAATTCATCATACAACTAGTAAAAGTTTAGAAACTAGTTTACAAATTTAGAACACCCCAACATTCCTGGCAAAGAAATGGAATCTGATTCTGGTCCATTAGATCTAAAATTCTTAGAATCTGAATCTGGATCCTTTAAATTTATAATAAACTTAAATTCCTGTCAATCATATTGTAATAATATTGTTTTTTGACATGGTCGGAATTAGCATACAACATCAGGAAAATTATGTATTAATTATCCAATTATATATAAAACATCCGATTCTGAATTCAATAATAAAAAAATAAAAAAATAAAAAAATATGAAAATAAAGAAAAATAACTAATTATCTACTGTGAGATTGTAAATCGTGGACCAACCAATTGACTGTTAATATTGACCAATTAGAACGAACTTACTACGGGAGTCATGTGATGCGCTAAATATTACATCACGATTAACAATTATTTTTCTATATTTATTGCAAAGGTTGCGCCACATTACACATGTAGATCATTACATCATTTGTATTTTTAATTTATTTTATGACATAATCATTTACTTGTAATAATGACTCATAGGATTACTCATTATGAGTCATAGCATTAGTAATTAGCAATTAGTAAGCTAGTAATACAGAAAGTAGGATTAATAAGCATATTTTATTGGATAAAATATTGTAAAGGTCATGTTATTTGTAATACCTCAAGAGGTATAAAAGAGCTTGGTTTTAGACCAAGTGAGAATC